ACGATCACTTCCCTGCTCCTGCTGGCCACACTATTTCTGTCTAGAAAAAGTCTAGAAAAGCTAGAAGCTTCTAAGCTAAGTTGGGGAAGTCTTGATACAGATTTTTTATATACAAATCCTTAGTGTGCATACCTATTTTTTTTGCAATATCTGTATTAAGATTAGGACAGCTGACAAAGCATTCATAATCTCACAAGCACGGCGCGTAGTCCCTCTAAATGCAATTCTCCTACTATACATCCTTGAACGTTTCCTAAGATCGTGTAGGCTTCTACCAAGAGGGGCGGTTGTCCTGCCAGTCTGTCTTGTACTCAGGTGGGTCAGGCTTTCAGCTGCCTGTAGAGGAAAACAAAGGGGAAGTTCACTGTTAATACATGAAATCTGTCCTTACTATTCCCTTGTATCCTGGCTGCCAGAGTCAGGTCTTCTCTGTCAGCCTTATAACCGTGTCATACATGCAAATACACAGGTCCGTATGATCATTTTTATGTTCTGACCCTTCCCTCAGCCCCTTCCACCTCTGGAAAATAGATGCCTACCTGACTGCAGTTGTGAGACTCCGATACCAGTCATTAATATCTTGTTGGTCACCAGACATCAACAACAGTGTCTTGTGTGGAAAGGAAAGCTGAAAGGCAAACAGAATCTGGTGCCACCCTGTGGCATTCCTTGCCAAGGCAGCAACTCTGATAAAAGGAGAGCCATCACCACTGAACTCAACTCAGCCCGGCATGCTGATTTCCACCATTTTCTTTCCCAGATAGAAAAAATCAGCATTGGTACTAGGAGAAGCCAGAGGCTGGACAGTACAGAGCGAGTGCCAGTCTTGTCCATTCCTTCCAGCCACAGATGACAGCTCACTTTGACTTAATAGGGGGTTTGGAAGTGGGCAATTACAGTTCTCAGCAGCTCTTCATCCATTTTTCTCCTGTATTCCAAGCTGCCCCTAGGGGTCCTTCCACTACCACCATCTACAGATCACAGCTTACCCAGAGTCTTCCCTGTCACAGCTCACAAGGAATGAGCTAACACAGCCCCCAGGTGCTGCAACCTAGGAAGACCTGAACTTGAAACCCCTACCTAAGGCATCAGTCCCAGTCAAAGACCCTGCAGCCCTCAGGGAGTTAGATGCACAAGCAGTATCTGTTGTGATAATACCCACATCTTTTTGCATTCTCTGTTTTTCAGGGTTTTCTATAAGCTCAGTCCACAGTCAACGTAATGCTACATATTCATTGTCACATGACTGTGGGGCTGTCTCCCCAGACATGTGGCTCTGATGAGGGCATATCAGAGTCTTATCAGAACCTCCTCACCCGAGATGAGTGAAGCAACCAGCAACCTGTACCCCAGCGTGCTCAGGAGGGCCTGCACCACGAAAGGAAACGGACCTACATCACTCAAGAAGAGAAGGGTTGCCCTAACTCAGACGAGTTCATTGCATTTACCGTTGTCACCACTCTCATCATCTCAGTCCTGCTGCTGCTGAGGCAGCTAGAGACCTGCTTTGCAAGTCTGACTCCACTGATGCTTCTGCCAGGCAGAAGCGGGAAGACTTACACTGAGGAGCCCTCCCTGGCTCTGCGTGTGGCCGAACACTTTATCCACTACGCACTGGTGAAGCGGGTAGACAGCCTGGCATGCCAGTTTGTTTGAGCTCAGCGGGTGCAGTGGGTGGCAGGGCTTTGTTGCAATAAAGATATCAGAAAAAAGGAAGAACATCCTGCGCTTCAGTTCTTCTCCCTTTGAAGGCACCACCAAAAGCCAGCCTTCCCGGATATACCAACGCCCTAGGCATGCAAGGGAAATAAAGACAGTTGTCAGATCATCACTGGAGAAAAAAAAGGCGGTAATGAGACAAACAGGAATACAGTGAGCTGCCCTTGTAGGTTACCAGGTTCTACATCAATTCCAGTCACTAGAAGGCACTGAGTATCAACTGGGGCCAGCTCACCAGCACTGATGGCACCCATGAAGAAACAGTGATCGGCTCAAAACTTTTAGTATATGAGGAGCAGACTGAAATTGTTATAAATATACTATGTTAATTAAGAGGATATTACGATATGCAAAGCTGTTTAAAGAGACCAGAACAAAAACATGGTTTGAAAATGGTATGCATACCTTTCAATTAACATAAGCCTTTCAGAAAACATACCATGAACTATCTTAAATTGTGTTGCCCAATCATTTGTCATTAGTGGTGAAACAGAAGTTAGCCTAAGCTTTGAACATTTATTTTATTTTCCCCTTGTTTTGTTTGCTTTTAAAATTTTGCAAATTTAATTTTGCAATTTAAAAAAAAAACCACAAACGTTTCACAGGTCATCTAACTATACACGGACCTCCGGTAGTTAATAGACTACAGAATGCAGATTACTGTTCTAATGAGAAGACAGCAAAGGGGATACAAAACAACATATTAAAAGGAAGGTCTGAATAGGCAACCTTATCAACCTTCTCTTTCAGAATAGGGCCCAGTGTCATCTACCCATGAAATTAATTGCAGTAAAACAAAAGGCAGAGAAATCAGCAGGAAAAAAATCAAAACAATTCTATAAACCTAGCTGAAGCAGCAATAAAAAAAATGGCATCTGCACAAAATGGAATAATTAAAGCAGTGCCTCTACCTAGAAGGATTATTGTACAAGATGGCCATCAACTCATGGGAATTATGAAGACACCTGCCAGTAAG